GACGGCCAGTACGTCGGCGGCGCCCTGATCCCACTGCGTCACCTGGCAGGTGATGCAGTACGGCACCTCCGCCGGCAGGTGCTCCAGCAGCGCGGCGCGCACCACGTCCTCGGCCAGCTGACGTGGCCGGCGGTCCGTCACCAGCTCGCCGCTGACTCGCCACCCGGCCGGCCGCGCCGCAGACAGGAGATAATCTGTCAGCGCGCTGACACCGGCGCCCTCCAGCGCAGCCGTCATGAACACACGCCGGAACAGCGGCCACGCGCGCCAGCGGCGGCTCAGCGCGTCGAGCTCGGACTCGGAGAGTTGGTCCGCCTGTCCGGCCAGCACCAGACGACGGTGCTCGGGGTTTAGCGGGGGCGGCGGTCCACCGCGGTCCACGTACCCCTCGGCCAGCTCCACGCCGGCTGCCCGCAACTGCTCCTCGCGGTCCAGCGCCACGTCTGGCGGCTGACGAGACTCCCCGTCACTGCTATTACCGTCCGTGTTAGCGACATCACGCAGCAGACGAGCTGGGTCCAGTCGGCGAGGACGCGGTTTCTTCTCCTCTGCCAGAATCGGCACACCGTCCACCAGCCCGTCGGTGAGCTGTCGGGTGAGCTCCAGAAGACGTCGCTTCCTCGCTAACATATCCACCTTGGTGAGAACCAGCACGGCCGGGCGGCTCGGCTCGGAAAACAGCAGTCGCTGTACCTTGGGGCTGAGTCCGGCGCGGCAGCGCGGGTCAGACACGTCATGAAGCACGCACACTAGATCGGCTCGCCGCAGCGCCGACAGCGGCTCGGTGGTGGTGGCCGGATCCAGTCTGTGTCGGCGGCGCTCGGCATCCGTCACCAACCCGGGAGTGTCCTCTAACACCAGCTGAGTATCGCCGATCGTCAGTGCCGCGCGAGAGTTCGTCTGCGTCGTGTGCACTTTACTCGAGACGGAGCACACGGGCCAGCTGAGAAGCCGGTTAATGAGCGTGCTCTTACCGCTGTTGGGTATACCCAGCACTGCCACAGAGAGGCAGCGTGCCTCGGGCCGGTTCGGTGGCCGCCTCCGGAGCGCGGCAGCCTCATCTTCTGTGACGGGCACGCGGCGACGCGGCGGGCGCGGCTCCCAGGACTGGCGGGCGGTGCGTACCGCCGCCGCTGCTGAGACGGACAGCCGGGCGCGGCTGGGCAGGGACCTGGCCGTCCCCGGCCACCACAGGCGGACCGACAGAGCCGGCGGCATGCTGCTGATCGGAGTGCACGCTGCAGAGAACAGAGTCCGACAGTTGGCACTTGGCAGAAGAGGCGGTGAAAACCTAGAAGCGTGCGGATGCGCCATTCAGTGGTGATTTATCTTGTGTTTTTAATTGATGAAAAGTCGGGGATGAGCAGATAATATAGGTATAAACATGGTTAATGGTGTGTACATGTGTATGTATAAAAGATAGGGACAAACAACGTGTAAGAGTTCGTTGGTGAAGAATGACACTATTGAGATACAATATCTTTAGAAGTTTGCATTCAAAATTTAAATATTCATGTTTTGAATTTCAGGTATCTTTAAAATGTGACTTTCAGAGCACTAAAATCAAATTATGAGCTAAAAATATTAAAACTTGGTGTGGGGAAAGTAGCAATACAGCCTGGCCAATGACCATGTCTGATCTTTCTGACAACTACCTGTCACACAAAAACATATATTGTCATATTGTAACTTGTAAGATCAGTGTTGTAGCAGGTAGCATCACCGTTTTGGTTATTTTGTCACATGTCAATTAAAAAAAGCCCAGTATCCACCTAATAACAATTATAAACAAAGGCAGGCAGCATCCTTATCATCAAAAATACTCATGCAATTATGGATTCTTCTAAATTCTCAGGTCTCATTAAATTCTTATCTGAATGCGCAAACAAACAAAAAATCCACCATCAAAATTGACACGACATTTAACAGCTTTGAAAAAAATAGCACAGGTGTTCTATATAGGTACCTACCTATGTTACAAATCATCAGCCTGCAAGAATGTATTCTTTTCTTACTGAATGAATGAATGAATGAATGAATGAATGAATGAATGAATGAATGAATGAATGAATGCATGCATGAATGAATGATTAAATGAGTGAATGCATTCTTTTTACACTTTTATTTTAATTTAAATAACCATTCAAAACTATGGAAATTCAAAGAGCACCATTGACATCTGGTGGGCAATCAGTCAAACCACCTTTACCTACAGGCTGATCAATAGCACAAAATCATGGATATACAGACATAGGTATCTACCAGTATAACGCCTTATGGGGCGACTAACGGAGCGAGCGAGAAGGTGGGCCTTGCACGTGCGAAATTTCGAGGGGGTACCTCCAACTGACTTGTGCACGGCATCCTACTAACCGGTCTCTAGCGACGTGCCAAATTTGAGCACAATCGGCCCAGCCGTTCTCGAGATCTGGAAGCGGCACCCTGCACGTGCGCACGTGCAAAATGGGTCCCAACTGACTTGTGCACGGCACCCTACTAACTGGTCCCTAACCGTGTACCAAATTTGAGCGCCATCGGTCCAGCCGTTCTCGAGATCTGGAAACGACCCCTGCACGTGCGCACGTGCAGCAGCACCCCAACCTTAACACATGCAGATGAATTATCTGATGGAGACCTAACTGTGTACCGAGTTTCAATTCAATCGGCCCAACCGTTGTGCCGTTATTGAGGTTGCAATTTTGGGGTTCTTAAAAAATGTCCAACTTTACCACGCGCCACGTGCGGTGGTTGGCAAGAACGCATGGTGGCCATCACACCACAGAACTTTTACGTCCAAGTGACATTCAGTAAAGAAAACCGCTTGTCAATCGGATGTCCCGTTCCTAAGATATAAGCTTTTGAAGAGCGTCCCCACGGCCGGCCGGCCGGCCGGCCGCTCATACTCAGAAATTTCCGTTAATCTAAGGAAAGACTCCGCTCGCTTCGCTCGCTCCGTAATGACAAAATAGTTACTCATTATCAGCACTTAAAGGGACCCTCCCACCTTAACATTAGATTTGAGTTGAGATAGCCAAAATGGGGTCCCTGGCTCACAATTACCGGTTTCGGCACTCACAACATCGAGAAATGCCTTAAATTGGAAATATTGAATTTCAAAATTGCAGCATTTTGATTCAGAGGGGCCAATGCATAGGAATACCCCTCTGAATGTGTGACGTCAGCGCAGATATCTAACGATTTTTAAATGTTTGACTAAAACGTTTTGTAGCACGCGGTGGTATATGCTGCTTTGCGCGCAACAAATGCCGCACTTTCAAATAAAGTCGCTATAGGAACAGCGGAGATCCCAAAAAGTAAACAAAAGTAAAAGTCTAATATCTTGAAAACCGGTGAATATTTTTCGATGAAATTTGGTAGATATTCGTTTTTGCTCTTTCTTAACCGAGCGACATCACTTTCATGCCAATTCATTAACTTTTTTGAAGGTGGGAGGGTCCCTTTAAGGTTTAGGTTGTGACTGATAAATGGGCTTATAGAAGCCTTTGAACCTCTAAGAACTGCAGGAATTCTAAAAAAAACATGAAAGGAGAGAACACATTCTTCTAAGCTTGAAAACTGGCACAACACCTTGATGCTTACATTGACATATTTTCTTAGTACAAGATATTTATTAGTTAGGTACACACTAAGAAAACCTAAACAAACCTAACCTAACCTAACCTACAACCTACAACCTTCAACCTAAAAACCTACAGCCTACAGACCTACAAACCTACCCTACAACCTACAAACCTACAGCGCCTCTCCTCGGTTAGAAAACCTTTGGGTGATATCTGCTCTACTAATGCCGATTAAGTTACCTTTAACCTTATTGTGTTACCCGTTAGGTTTGGAACGGTTGGGTTTTTGCAATTTGCATTACCTTCTGCTAATAGAGTACCTGATATTTATGAAGTAGGTGATTGTATAAATAATTTTTCATGCCAAAAAAACTATTGTTTGTGGCAAAATGGTGTGGTTTTCATTTTATTTAATTTAGTGCCTCAGCCTAGGGTACAAAACAGCAATTATACCAAAGTCTGCAAAAACGTTGAGGGATATAGTTCTTTCATGGAGAGCATAACAAAAATATACCATTGTAAAAGCAGTGCATGGAAATGCATTACACATTACACAATGGTGATGGTCTCAATGCAATATTGATATGCAATTGCTAAAAAGCTTCCTAAGGTCAAAAGTGCAACACAATCTCAAGCTTATTCATTGAAGACTGCTGTATCGTGCAATGGGAAACTTAAGGGAAATAATTAAAGAACACATTTACCTTTGATAAATATTCACAAATCCACCGCGCACACGACGCGCGCGCCTTTCAGCGAAAAGAAGGTGGTGCGTCATTTATGGTCTCAGTCGCGCAATTACTGCTGCCATTAGAAATAATCGTAAAATTTTGCATGCATTTGTCATGTAGATGTGGCATTTGAATATATTCATTTTATTTCCAAAACTGTAAATTTTGTAAAATTCTTGTTCAATAAAACCTAAAAGTATCACAGGAAGGACAAAGAGAAGTAAACTTAAAACTATTTTTCAATGCACTTGATAAAAGGATTCGTTGCTATAGCAACATATATGATTTCTTCAAGGTCAAATATCACCTGATTTCCGGTGAGATAGTTGGACTGAGTCGTTTTTTTTTGCCTTTTGGTTGGCATCCGAAAGGGTACGGATGTAGATGACTTTCAGTAGTCTGCTATAATATTGTTGCGTTAGCCATTTCCACATTCCTGACATTTCGTTCACTCAATTCTAGCTCAATAAGTAAGATTCGAGCTCCGAGGCTGGGAGTGAGGTTCAGGTTGAGGTTTGAAAAGCAGGATATGATATCAATGTTCAATTTTCACTATATTTTTCAGCTTCACCAGTATTTAAAAGTGTTCTAGAGACTAGATTACGTGCAAATGGAAACAATTGAGATTCGAAATGCATTTGGCTCATGGCTCATCGGCGTTCCGTCACTGATGTCAATGTATCATTGCTATAAATTTGTCTATTTTAGGCCAGCGCCATGCGCGGCTCCAAAAGAAGACCGAGCATCAAGCCAACGGGCGGCGGTTCTCCGTGTGTGAAGAAGCCCCACTACAACGCCCCCATCCCACACAAGAGGGAAGAGTTCGCCCCGCACAGTAACCTACCGAAAGATGTCAACGATCAGGTGACAGAGGAGGTTCTGCTGTAGTACTACGACTTCTGACGTATATCGGTGTGAAGGAAAATAAGCGACGCGTAACAGTATATGCATGCAAAAGTAGCCGTTGAATGATCAAGTTATTGTGTTTCATAGTTGACGCGTGTTTAATGGGAAATTTTTTGTCACGCTTTGACAGACAAGCATTATTAGTGTGCGCTTTTATTCAGTATATCTAACCTTTAAATGAATTAAACGTTATCAGTTATCGTCAATTTACTAGGCCTCTCACGGTCACAAGACAGCACAGCTCCGGTAGATGCATAACCTCCCCCCCCCCCCTCCCTTGCAGACGAGTCAGTTCGTACCGGAGATGTCTCTGCGGCGCGAGCAGCCGCCGTGGCTGCAGGAGCCGCCGGTGTTCACACCGTTCGCCCGGTATGGCTCGGACCGCAGCCAGCCGCCGGCCACTGAGCCGCTGTTCCGTCTACCGGCCACGGGACCGGGCCGGCGGCGTGGCGCCGTGCCGCCGCACATCGCCGAACGATGCGTCATCAAACGAAACAAGTTCACGCGACCGGCCAAAAAGGTGACTGACTGGGGAGATGACAGGATGGCTTGAGGAAAAGGTGTGGGTGTTCCGTGTTGTGGAATAGCTGCAATACGGTCAAGGAAGTGCGTGATGGATACGTTTTCCATCGCTGCTCTTGGCCGTCGCACTCGTCTCATTGTTTCCTTGACTTCTACATACCTACATAATCGTGCTTGAATATAAAGGCTTAGCTACCTTCCTGATTTGACCGGTAGTTTTGATCGGAGTGGGTCAGATGAATTCCATGTATGTAGTATGTGTGTACTGCGCTCTCATTTCCGCCGTCGCCCGCCGTTTGCTGTCAGGTGGCCACCCAGTCGTACCTGCAGTGCCGGGTGGACCGCGAACAGTTCCGTCGCAGACTGGTGGAGCTGCTCACCTCCAACGATGACGACACACTGACCAGCGGGCCGGCCTCCCGTACCGGGTCCGTAACAGAGCTACCCGTGCCCCGTGAGTGGACTGTGGGACGATAAAATGGGGTAGAGCTTAGCGAGTGCTTAATGCTAGAGAGGGGGTGCTTAGCGACTCCTAGGCTAAGCAGCGATGTATGATAGGAAGACGGCTCTCATACGGAAAGGCTAGTAAAAGTAATATATCAAAACGTTAACGGTCGTAACCGAATGGATCTAGGAACTCAAAGAAAGAACGAACAGCCGGTAGTGTCATAGTAACTGTTTCGTTTATCGTTCGTTCATCTATCGTCGCTGTCTCGTCTGACATCTTCTCAATGTCAGCGCCGCCCCATCACCCACCGCACAAATCCCACTCTCCATCTCTGACCGTCTGTGCCGGGCAGTGTCGGAGTCAAGCAGCGCCGACCCGTCCGCCCAGGAGCGGGCTCTGCTGCGCTACTACTACTACATCCACAACGGCATCGAGACGGGCCAGGTGGCTCCCATGGCCGACCAGTGGCTGCAGCACATGGACTCAATGCTGGCCGCCAAACTCCGGGTGGGTGAGGCTGGTGGGCTCGGCTGACTCTGCTGTGGATGACTGGGACTACATAGAGGGAAGTTATTAATTCAGCAGGCGTTCTAAGATGTTCTGAGTTTGTGCGAAGCGTTCGTGGTAGTAGTGTGAGTCGTATGTATAACAATGACTGTCAGTATCAAGACTGGTTTGACGACGATCGTCGGTTCCAGAGCCGGGCAGAACCGCTGGAAAAGCTGCACATTGAGCTGACGGAGGAGTATCTGTTTGGTGTGAAGAAGGCGGTGGTCGACTACATTCTAACGGAGAGGCCGGGACAGGTAATAGCGGCGTCAGTTGCGGTGGCTATCGTTTTTTTTTTGCGCTCCTGCGTATCTGCCAATATTTTATGTAATTAGTCAGTTTTCCATGACCAGAATCATGATTGCAAGTGGAATTTGAAGCAGAAAAAGTGCCTGCTGTATTTCTCTTCCTCACTCGCCTCTGCGCCAGGACTACGCCGAGCCGCCTCCGACGCTCCCCCACCGTTTGGAGCTGCGGGTCACCCCGTCACCGTGGCGACACAGCTTCCTTCACCACCGGCGACTCATCTTCTTCAACCTGTGGTCCATCAACACGTGTCTGCTGCAGATCCTCGATCTCTGGTATAAACAGTTCAGGTGAGAGACGCCGAACGCGGCCGAGCGATCTGCAGCGCTGCGGCGTGGTGGCGCGGCGGCGGAGGGCGACGGGGAGGTAGACTGTACCGCAGCACGTCAGTGTACGGCGGGTTAGTCTATCCTTCAGGCACTCGCTGCGCCGGCCGACACTACGCGACGTCGTCGGTGTGTCGGACTCGGTGATTTTAGTGAGGCTGTGGCTGGCATCGTAGTGGGAGGGCGTGACTGTGTGATGGTGCTCGTTCCGTACGTTGCCGGCGTGATATTGCCGATTTCGCGGTCAGTTGGTGTTTAGCGACCAAAGACGACAGTGGCCAAAAGCTGGTTTGTCGATCTCAGTCCCTCGCCATCTTCGTAACGAATTGTCGGGTATAATCTCCCAGTTTTACATATAACCCGTGACATTCCCAGTTCTAGTGAATCTCGCAGTTTCCCGATGCGTTTGTGCAACTGTGCGTGTGTCTGCGCGGCAGTGAGCTTCGGCTGCTGGACTCGAGTGAGCTATACTCTGCCGAGCCAGCGCTGGAGCTTTCAGAGTTCAACCACCTGCTGGAGGAGCACATTGCCCGGACCATGGAGGCGCTGGAGCACGACTGGTTCCCGGCAGTCCATCACATCCTGATGCAGGTCAGTCAGCATCACTACACTACAGTGGGTCTGGAAATATGTTGTGTATTGGATACCGTGGGACGTCATGTCACATGATGATGCCGTGTGTGAGGTGACTTTCTCAATTGGATGTTGGCAAGTTACAAGCACCTTTTTATTTAGGTATCGATAATTTTTGCCACCCATATGTAGAAGGTAGCAATGAAGAAATTATGTGTGAGCTGCGTAGAGCTGAGTCAATTAGTTTTATCAAAATCGGTCGGCTCTGGTTGGAGTAACTCGTCGGAGCCTGATATCCGACACCACCGACGGGCGATGGCGGTTGTAGCGATGCGTTATTTGACACCGACCGCGAGACGCGCCCGTGACCGTCTGGCGTCGGTTGGCAGGGTGCCAAGCGAAACATGATGCCTTCGCTCAGCCAACCTGACAAACTAGAGACGTTCTTCAACGCGGTGGCCACGCTGATGTCGATGAACGTGCAGAACCTGCTGCTGCACACCATCTGGGAGTACACGGACATGCTGTGCAGCAGCAAGGTGAGGATTTGACTCAGTGTGACGGTTTGAATGGTGGGAATAAATGTCTGTTGATTGTCATACGCTGATGCGTTTGTGGCGGGAATTACGCTTGAATCAAAGAAAATAATCACCTACTATGCTAGTCCGCTATTGATGTGTCTGAGTTCCCGGGTGTTTTTAGTTACTGCCGTCAATTTTAACCACCGCTAATTCTTTTAGACCATTCAACCTTCGGTGACTCCTGCGTTTATGCAGATTCTAGCGTACCCAAAATACTTTTCCTTCCCATTAGTGCATTTTTACCAAGTTCATTATGATTGACTTTAGACTACATTCGACAATGCGAGGTGGTTGTGGCACTGGTGGCTTCCCCTACCACTTTGTTTCGCCGTCAGAGCTGCGGATTCGTGCGGCAACCGGGCCGCCGCTGTGGTTCGGCTGGCTGACGCTATGTGTTTACCGCCAGAGCCGCGGTTTTGTACTGCACCTGGTCCGCTCGGGCGGCGAGCTGCACTTCCAGCCAACCGTGGACGAGTTTGAGGAGCAGCTGCTGGCCGTATTTGAACGCATCATCGCCGCCGTTCAGAAGCTGAAACGGGCAGAGACTCGCGTATTCCTCGACTGGCCCGGGCGGGCCCAGTACCTGAAGGTGAGGCGAGGAATTGTGAGGTTGTTGGCAGGGTGTCAACTAGTGTGTTACTGGTTGAGGGGTTTCGTGCTGAGTGATATATCAACGTTGATATGAGCATAGTGAAAGTAAAAGTTTACGTCATTCGTCATTTCACGAAACACTTACTAGGAGAATGCGGAGCAGTACAAGTAGCAACGGATGGGTGCACGTCAGAATAGCTAGTGACATTTGAGCTAGTGACTATTGAGCTAGTACAAAACAGCTAGTGCCTCACAACAGCTAGTGACAAAACAGCTAGCGTCAAAATAGCTAGTGAAGTAAAATAGCTAGTGCTTAAAAATAGCTAGTGACAAAACAGCTAGCGTCAAAGTAGCTAGTGAAGCAAAATAGCTAGTGCCTCAAAACAGTTAGTGACGAAATAGCTAGCGTCAAAATAGTTATTTCATTGGACCTCTATTCCTTTCCCATTCACTTCGCTTCGAAAATGCAAGATATCTATGACTGTAAATATATATTTCCCGCGATATGTCATCTCAAACATTCAAAGTGATGTTGAAACCTATTCCCCGAATGAATTATTTTTTGCTAATGATGCCTGCCCTGTAGCGTCTCAGTAGAGTGACTAATCTGACATTCATGTCTCTGTATGCTTTCTTTTGTTTTTGAACATCCTGGCCACTTTTAAATATCACAAGATCAGATGCTTGAAGATTTTGCTCTTTATGGATGGCGGTGAAAAATCTCATTAACCCGCGCCCTGCTGGGGGTCCTGGATTTCCACGCCCTGCTGGGGGGGGGGGGTGTTTGAACACCCCCCCTTGTAACTCGGCTCCTGGGCCACGTAGCGATACGCGGAAGGCGGCGTTCGAAAGAGCGTCAAAAATAATGACGAAATCACTTCGGTCAATTTTTTGGTCAGGTCAAAGGTCAGGTCACCAGAGGTCATTGAAGGCAAAATTTCGCCGATTTCCAGGTCGAATGTCGAAAATTTCCAAGAAGCCAACGCATAACTCGGGAACCAATAGAGCTACAGCGCCGCGGAAAAGCGCATTCGATAGCTCTTTTAACGCCCTTTCTGAGTAATTCTCTCAGATTTGACCTAACGTCAACGGTTTTGCCTGCAGGGGGCAAAAACTGCAAAAATAGCCGATTTTTTCGAAAACAGTTTTTCTGCAATAACTTTTGACACAAGCCTTGTACGAGCCTACTTTTACCGGCATCGTGTTCCTCTCGTCAAGACGCATCGAATGAACTATGACTTGACCTTGAAAGGTCAACTTGAAAATTTGACCTCAGGTCAAGGTCATGACCTGACCGGAAAGGGTCATGTTGCATATCAGTCGATCCGTATCGTCGAGCTGAACACATCTAAGGCGTTTTCATCGCTCTAGCATACCTCTATCAAAAGTTATTTGCGAAAAACTGTTAGATACCATTCGTGACCTAAGATGACCTCAGGGCATAAACAAGGGTCACGGACACCATTTTCAAGTTCAGTGTGTCTAAATTACTTGTAATTCGGTGTTTGGGAGTGTTTATAATGTCTTTCATCCAAAAGAGGCGCATTTCAATTTTCTCCCATTGACTTATAATGGGGAGGTCGCAAAATTGACCTGACCTTAGGTCATCGTTATCAAAATTCTGAGATATACATTTTGTACATGCTATTGCTCTTAGCAATCGCTGAAAGTTTCAAAGCGATCGGTCACTCGGTGTAGCTATGACAGACATTGAAAGTTTTTATGAGGTGAGGTCACTTCAAGTGACCTGGTGACCTGACCTTGAATGACCTTGGTCTGAAATTTTCACAACATGTGTAGAATTGATGTATGATAAGGTGTACCAAAAACGGCGGCGCTCCGCGCCGCCGTTTTTGAGATATTCGCGAAAAACCACAGGGGGGGTGTTCAAACACCCCCCCCCCCAGCAGGGCGCGGGTTAATGATGGTTGCGATCAGTCAAACATGCCTTGACTTTCCCGGTGTCACACTTCTTATTTGTTGTTTGTCTAGGGATCCCGTCCTCTGTCCTCACTCCTCCTTCTAACATTCCAAATAATTTTGTCAAACAACAGTGCACAGTGCAACAGTCAAACTTCTGCTCCTTCTACCTGTCGGGACTCGGCGTCAGGAAGGAATCTAAGGACTCGTCGGGAAAGAATCTATAACAGCTGCTCGTACTTTGTACGAATCAGCTATTTTGCTTCAGTACGTTATCCCGCGCCCTGCTTGGGGGGGGGGGTGTTTGAACACCCCCCTTGTGGTTTTTCGCGAATATCTCAAAAACGGCGGCGCGGAGCGCCGCCGTTTTTGGTACACCTTATCATACATCAATTCTACACATGTTGTGAAAATTTCAGGCCAAGGTCATTCAAGGTCAGGTCACCAGGTCACTTGAAGTGACCTCACCTCATAAAAAGTTTCAATGTCTGTCATAGCTACACCGAGTGACCGATCGCTTTGAAACTTTCAGCGATTGCTAAGAGCAATAGCATGTACAAAATGTATATCTCAGAATTTTGATATCGATGACCTAAGGTCAGGTCAATTTTGCGGCCTCCCCATTATAAGTCAATGGGAGAAAATTGAAATGCGCCTCTTTTGGATGAAAGACATTATAAACACTCCCAAACACCGAATTACAAGTGGTTTAGACACACTGAACATGAAAATGGTGTCCGTGACCCTTGCTTATGCCCTGAGGTCATCTTAGGTCACGAATGGTATCTAACAGTTTTTCGCAAATAACTTTTGATAGAGGCATGCTAGAGCAATGAAAACGCCTTAGATGTGTTCAGCTCGACGATACGGATCGACTGATATGCAACATGACCCTTTCCGGTCAGGTCATGACCTTGACCTGAGGTCAAATTTTCAAGTTGACCTTTCAAGGTCAAGTTATAGTTCATTCGATGCGTCTTGACGAGAGAAACACGATGCCGGTAAAAGTAAGCTCGTACAGGGCTTGTGTCAAAAGTTATTGCAGAAAAACTGTTTCCGAAAAAATCGGTTATTTTTGCAGTTTTTGCCCCCTGCAGGCAAAACCGTTGACGTTAGGTCAAATCTGAGAGAATTACTCAGAAAGGGCGTTAATAGGGCTATCGAATGCGCTTTTCCGCGGCGCTGTAGCTCTATTGGTTCCCGAGTTATGCGTTGGCTTCTTGGAAATTTTCGCCATTCGACCTGGAAATCGGCGAAATTTTGCCTTCAATGACCTCTGGTGACCTGACCTTTGACCTGACCAAAAAATTGACCGAAGTGATTTCGTCATTATTTTTTACGCTCTTTCGAACGCCGCCTTCCGCGTATCGCTACGTGGCCCAGGAGCCGAGTTACAAGGGGGGGTGTTCAAACACCCCCCCCCCCCAGCAGGGCGTGGAAATCCAGGACCCCCAGCCGGGCGCGGGTTATTTCGACGATAACGATTTTGTCACTAGCTATAATGAAGCACTAGCTATTTTGCTCTACTAGCTGTATTGACGCTAGCTATTTTGTCACTAGCTGATTTGATGCACTAGCTATTTTGCATTACTAGCTATTTTGGCGCTAGCTGTTTTGTCGCCAGTTGTTTTGAGGCACTAGCTCTTTTGTACTAGCTCAAAAGTCACTAGCTCATTAGTCACTAGCTGTTTTGACGTGGACCCCAACGGATAGTGTTCGATGAAATGGTTTATTTATCGATGTTTACTTTTTTATCAGCAGTCAGCCAATGCTTCTCTTGACCTTGCTAAGCGTTTAGCAAGATAATTAATGCATCCTATGTTCTAAGTCGTTTTCCCTATCGCTGTCTAACCGTCTCTCCCGCCTGTTCCGTCCAGCCGGTGGTTCTTCCTGAGATCGTGGAGAGTCTGAAGCAGCGAGTCCGGGCCGTGGTCGCCGAGCAGTCGGTCGGACCCAAGGAGCACGCCCTATGGTCAGTGTGGCACGCCCGTCTCCGTGGGAGGGTAGGGGAGAGTGGGGCACATTCGTGCATGGGGCACATTCGTTTTCAGCAGTTTATGGGAACACAAGTGACTGCACGAGCTCAAGGTAAATTATGGAAATATGTCTATCATTGCCGCCCTTCGTTCACCGTAGAAGACAACACTGTACCTGCTGTCATGCTTGATAAAAACGCAAATTTGTAATATTCGTGAGCTTTCCAAACTTTTCTCATATCATCCATTTTCGTGATCCTGACTCGGAAATGTGGTTCAGCTTTTCAAAATTGGGGGTGAAGAAGCCCACTCTATTCACGGAACTGCTGCAAACTTGTTTGTTGAAAAAGTGTCATTTTTTCAAAAAGAAATTTTGAAATCTATATTACTATTTGAGGAAGGCGTAGTTTCTGTCTATTACGAAGGTCGCGACATGGTGCTACGTAGCGCGGGTTACAGGTCACACCGTTGCACCTCCCGCGCTGAAATTTGCGCAAGTTATAGAACAAGGATGGACAACGTGCCTTTGAGCGGTCTCGGCTCGATCGGATCGATAGCGAGCGCGTGGCGCGTGCCCAAAAAGTGCAAATTCGCGTCATAGACTTTACATGTATAAATCGGCTGGCAAAAACGGGCGAAAATGGCTAAATTTGCCCGACACGGGTCCGTTCCCCGTGCAATATCTCGGTAGCCGTGCGCCCGATCGGCACGGGGAAAACAGCATCGTGTAGAGAATCGAACGGGCAATCGAATAGTGTGCGGTGCAGGGGTGGCACGCGCCACGTGCAAGTGTGAGGGCAATTTCATTTCAAAAAGTGCCATTTTAGACGTATTTTGGATTTTATTTTATTTTCCCGTGACCATCAGACTGAGAGAGTTGAAACAACGTCAGTTGCCAAGAGAAATGTACCGCCTCTCATGGAAAAATTGTGGACAGCTAATTGATCAAAAACAATGTGGAAAAATCGCTGAATTAAAATGGTATTTGTCCACAATGTGCCACTAAAAAGATACACGGGATTTGCTGCTTAACCTGATACGCTTGACAATTGAAAATGCTATCATTAGAAAGAGCATTCAATTCTCTCCAAGATCCAATCATCACGTTTGCATGACAAGCAACAGTATTCTTAAAAATATAAATGTTTTAAACCTCTGCAAAACGATTTTTAGCGAAAATTATCTACGCCTTTCATTTGTCTTAAAACTACGCACCTCAATTATAAAGCACATTTGACAGATTCTGAAGTGGAAAGCATGCTTATCAGACACGGGCACCTCGATGCGATGGATATTTTTTTCCAAACCAAAACGTTTAGCCGTCAAAAAGCTATCGACCGAAATGGATAGATAACCAAACCGACACAAGAACAACCAAACACCCGCCGATCGAAAATATCCCTTTTCGCGTTGCGGAGCACGCGGGTCACCCTAGTATATTACTAATAACGTCGTGGGGCAGGTTCGTGTACGCACTGCCTGGGGGCACGTTCGTGCATATTTTTTTTAGTTTTTGCGATTTATGACTTTATCTGTAGTAGGTTTCTCTAATGACGCTCGCCTGACTCAGTCTCGACTGCTTGCGACGTCGTGACGAGCAATTCACGCGAACTTGGCGAGGTCACGGAGGCCGGCAGTTGGCACATTCTTGTTGGCCAGCCCATTCTTTCTACATTTGTTGTGCAATGCATTCTTGTCGAAAGGAATCAAGTGAAATGACCCCCTGCCAATTTCCTTTGGTAAATTTCTGGTAATGCCCGGTAATTTCTCGAATTTTGCCGGGTGAACGGAAGTGCCCCATCTCTTGAACGAATGTGCCCCATAGGTGGGGCAGTTTCGTGCAAATGTTCAGAGTTAATAAAAGTCATTTTTTCTAATGGAAGCAATAATTTTATAGGATAACTTTTAAAGAGGAAAACTATCTGCAATAGTTCCTTTCCATACTACAATCAACAATTTTGCCATTGCACTAACCAAAGAACAGATATATGGGTTTATCCATTTTTTGCACGAATGTGCCCCACTCTCCCCTAGATACGTAACGGGATAATTGGGACTGTGGGTTGAGTAAGGAGCTTCATCTAAGTGGAATGGTCGCGATTTAATGTGATAGATTTAATGTGATAGGTCGTTCGATATCGTTGCTTCGTGAGCAATTAGTTCTTCCCGTGCAAATAGTGCAAATTGCGATGTCACATAGGTTAAATCCGAAAACATCAAATGAAGCCTAATATTTTCCTTTCTCCGGTACTGCTGTACCACTACTACACAGGTACGAGCGGTACGAGTACCTGATCAGCGGCCAGGCCAACGCAGACGTGGAGGAATTCCTGTCGGGTCAGCATCCATTCGAGGAGTACCAGGAGCAGGTGGTGCGCTACCACGAGCTCAGCTATGAGATCAACTGCGAGTCGGCAAAGGTGAGACATGGGAGGGGGAGTGACAGGGTTTAGGGGCGGGGACTGGTGTCGGGTGCGAGTATAGCCGAGACGAGAGATCCATGAGTTTTGTAACGTTTTTTTTTTTTTTTGGGGGGGGGAGGAGGCTTTGTAAAATAGGTGTTTGTTTCTCTGGTCTAATGTCGTATGTTATCATTTTTGAGTCTTTTTCGCATGATAATGTTTAATTGTGGTTCATCATCCTATCAGCTATTATCAGCTTATAAACATTAAAGCTTTTTTAAAGAGTCAATTTATTATGTTGACAATTTGATAAAACTTCCTCTCGTGGCTCACCGTTTCAATGGGTCCGATCTCGATTGAACGTCGCTTGCCAGTGTTATAATCGTCATTGCGTTTCCCACCCTGCGTTTCTCGCGGCAGGTGATCCGTTTGGGCATGTTTGAACTCCGCTGTGACACACTCACCGAGGATCTGGTGTCGCTGGCCACCGGTCTGCGTGACAAGATACTGCACAACATGCTGGCTAACCACAACGCCACCAACAAAACGTGGGTCATACGCTCACCGTCGCAGCTTGATATGAATGGCGCTGAATTGCGCTTTGATCATGCTATAGAAGTGTGATACTTCATGTGCGATGCTTTATGTACATAAACATCGCACATTAAATATAGAAATGTTCTCACATTAATAAGCACTGGACTCCAGTCGCAGTCTCTCTGACATTTCCTACAATTCGCCATTGGATCCGAATATTCGTCTCGCACCGTTTCACATACCCTATCGTTTTCCGTGCGCCATTCTACAGACTGTCCGAAGAGTACGAGCAGATCACGGACAAGTCTCTGACCGTGCCGTCCAACACGGCCCAGCTGATGGAGCTCAAGGAGTACGTGGACCAGACAGAGTCGGTGCGCATCCCGCAGATGGAGGATCAGCTCAGAACGGTACGGACGGGGTACTCTGGGAGGGCCGGTATGAGAGATCGGTGAATGAGGAGGGCCTTAGGGGTGGCTTGAGACAAACTTCGCAGAGCATATGCTCCCCGGTAGTTTTCTTACTATTTTTCCCATTTGAGATTATTGTTTTAATGTTTGCTGGTTTAAAGTGATTTGCTGCTGGGTCATGGTCATGAGCCCTTACTAATACGGTATTTATGGAGATAAGTATCGGTGTTAAAGCAGCTCTTCTACAGCAGCTATCGCATTCACGGCTTTGTAAAAAGTACAGTATCGACTATCGACGCCTCAAACTTTTCGATGAGCTCCAGACTGAGAGCCACTGCATCATTCGGTCTGATCTGATGGCTCAGTTCACCATTGCCCTATCATCCTGTACAACTGTGTCCGCACTCTGCAGATATTCTCGCATCTGCTGTTCCTGTCGGACTACGCTGAGTTTTCCTCGGCCGACCTGCGTCACAATACAGAGACATTCCTGTGGCACCAGCGTATACCGGCCGTGTTCGACGAGGGACGCTCCATCTACCGACAGAAGAGGGTCGAGTTCGAGGAGGCCCTCAAGGTTAGAGAGAGAAGTGGAGGCATGGGGAACAGGGAGAGGAGAACGTGAGAGAGCACGAGCCCTACCTGCTTGTTGTCGACACTAGCTTGTGGCACTGAAACAACACTTTAATGCTGCAGATGGTCAAACCTAGTTCACCGCACGATATCTACGTTGATGACTAAATATGTATCATGCAACTGATCGTTGTTTTCTTGGCTCCCTTCTTGGACTGCGTTTGGGTATGCAATGTGCATTCCTCGATACCGTCTGACCGCTGGAGTCCTCAACTACAGGTCCCTGACGCCGCTCCCTACATTTCGCCGCTCCGTCAGCCTTTTCTGACCTCCCTACATCGTGACGCTCCCTCTGCCATTTCTGACCGTTCTCCCTTCCCTGGCTCACCACCCTTCCTCAGGTGCGGCGCGAGCGTTTTCTGGAGGAGCTGGAGACGTACAACAAGCAGGTGGAGGAGCTGGAAGAACTGGGAGAGCTGCCCGAACTGCCGCGGTACCTGAAGCGCGCTCAGGGCCTGGAGGAGAAGCTACAGCAGGCGCTGGACAAGACGACGGCCATCAATGACGAGGAGGAGGCGTTCGAGTGGGAGGTCACCAACTACCCGCGCAGGAAGGAGGTGAGAAGCACGGTGGGGTGGTGCTTGTGAGAATATAAAAAGTAGATATAGAGAGAATGACGGGTAAATATTCGACTGCTTTTTGTGCGGAATGATAAAAGTGATTTACTCTGTCGCACTAATTGCCGGCGCATGCTTTCTGTAATGCTCTGTCGACTATGTTGTTGCGTTAATGTGTTAATATATTTGCTATAATCGCCACACGTCCACGTCTCGATCTATGTGTGTTTCAGGTGGCCGACAAGCTGAATCCCTACCTCCGCCTGTACACCAACGGGGTCGATTTCAGCGTAAAGTACGACTCCTGGATGAGCGCGCCGGTCAGTAAGCCCTTGATCGTGACTTTAGGATAGGATGTCAGTCGATTGACGCGATATTATGGTTATCATTGAACTGAATGACGATGTGGAAGGCATCGTGCATATGACTAAGATTAGAAATGAAGCTTTCAGTCTGGCGAACCAATCCTTGTTATGCGTTCGAATGTTCGGGAGAGTGGGCATTCGCCGTCGCCCTTCTAACCATGACTGTCTGCTGTGTGCCCAGTTGGGAGCGTACGAACCGGAGGACATTGACCAGGAGACGGACGGATACTTCCGCAGCATCTACAAGCTGGAGAAGTCGTTCAGCAACGAGGGACCGGCACGTGACCTGCTCTTGGAGGTAACGCTGCTGCCCAGACTAATAATTATTACCGAACATTTGGAGGCCAAATAATATGCTAGCTTTTATTATGTGTCGCGCTTACCTGGCCAAACAAATTTACTTCGTCATAAAATATCATGTAACCCCAATGCTCATCACAACCATCATCCCATCTCGTTCCCCGGCAGGTGAAATCGGCTATCGACGGGTTCCGTGCCCACCTACCTGAGGTACAGACTCTGGGAAACCCGGGTCTGCGCGACCGCCACTGGGAGAAAATCTCCGAGATTGTCGGATTTCCGATCAAGGCCGACTCGGAGACCACGCTGGCCAAGATCATAGACCTCAATCTCACCGACTACATCAGGTCGGTGGCTGGGGAAACTGGTGAGCGAAGTTCAGGCTGTCATGGGGAGCATGTCGATTGTCGATTGATGTCTGGTGAACGATCACTGTGACTTGAGACGAAGACAATAGAGATCATAAGCTTTACTTCTTTTAAGACGGTGTTCATTGAATTTGTATTTGCTACTTCATGGGTCGATGATATTTGCCTATGTTTAAACGCGTTTTGTTTCTTCTGATTCTGACAGCAAGTTTGAGAGCATCAGCGAGTCAGCTACCAAGGAGTACAATCTCGAAAGAGCCATGGACAAGATGAGGGCCGAATGGAAGGACATGGAGTTCAACATTGTCCCCTACAGGTAAATGCATCACTTATGTCGTTAGAGACGTCTTGTCAGTGAGAATGTAAGGCTGGAAGCAGGCAAAGCGCGGCGATTCCAAGTCAAGTCTGGCATCGAGCCTTTAGCTGAAGAGTCTGCTTTATAAAAATATTGCCAATGGCGAGCATCATCTGCAATATATGAATACTCCTCACGCTACCGACAGGGAGTCGGGGACGTCGATCCTGTCATCGCTGGACGAGATCCAGCTGATGCTGGACGACCACCTGGTGAAGACGCAGACGATGCGCGGCTCGCCCTTCATCAAACCGTTCGAGGAGCAGATCTGCGAGTGGGAGAAGACGCTCACCAATCTGCAGGTCGGTAAAGCATGGTCGAATCAGGGTGTCATTTGCCATTCTCGTGGGCAGTGTTTTAATGGGCATTTCTTCAGCACCAAGTTAATTCGATTGACTTATTCTACTTGGCTGATATTTTTCCAGAATGCATGTGTAGATATGGCGATGTGTAGTATGCATGTGTAGACGTAGTTGCTTGAGATTCTTGTGAATAATAGCTTGACTCGGTCTCAGTTTTCTGCTTTCAGATATATTTTCCTAGACACTCGGCTGACTGTTCCCAGCCGATCCGCTTATGTTGATCGTACCAGCTGACCCGGCTAACCGCCCGCCCCCGCCCCGGTCCGACCTGCAGGAGATCCTGGACGAGTGGCTCAAGGTGCAGATCACCTGGCTGTACCTGGAGCCCATCTTCTCCAGCCCCGACATCATGTCACAGATGCCCGAGGAAGGACGACGCTTCACTACCGTCGATAAGGTACGTATGTATATACGACTTCGTGTGTCCCTTGCTCAGTAACGCTGCATACGTTTTGAGTTGTGTGCATTTGATTACCGACATATTACGGCGAGTAGAATATGTCGTGTAAGGCTCTTGTTTCTTAGACGAAGTGCCGACGTTATGCAGATTATCACACACTTGTGATGTATACGGTCGAATCACGCACTGAAAATTAAAGAGCTGGACTCCATGCATGCACTTATTATCCTGCAAGTCAGTGACGTCTGGAGTCCCTTTGCCCCTCCCCTTCCAGAACTGGCGCGATATCATGAAGGCCGCTCTGGTGGACACACATGTTCTGGCCGTCATCGACGTGGAAAAGATGTTGGAGAGGCTGAAAAAGTCCAACGAGCTGCTGGAGCTGATCCTCAAGGGCCTGAACGACTACCTGGAGAAGAAGCGGCTGTACTTCCCCCGGTTCTTCTTCTTGTCCAACGACGAGCTGCTGGAGATCCTGTCGGAGACCAAGGACCCCACTCGGTCAGTGACGAGGCGGGGATGACTAAAACCGTCATGTTGAGGAACATTACGCGGAGGTGGCGGGATAACTAGTTGATATTGAGTTCTCCATGATTTTAAATCGAGTGGACGTTATTTTGTACTGAGTGGTTTGCAGGGCATCTCGTTTCTGCGCTTCCCCTGCACTCTAAACTATCCCTCCCACTCTCATTTCCCAGGGTGCAGCCGCACCTGAAGAAGTGTTTCGAGGGTATCGCCTCCCTGACGTTCACCGAGACGCTGGACGTGACACACATGAAGTCGAGCGAGGGCGAGGTCATCAAACTGCTCGAGGAGATATCGACAGCCCGCGCCCGCGGCCAGGTCGAGAAATGGCTGCTCGAGCTCGAGTCGTTGATGAAGAGCAGTCTGCAGCACGTAAGTCGTTGGCGATAGTGATTCAAGGGAGAGGGTAATGGATAGAAGAGTGGAACGATGGGCAGGGCATGGTAAAGGAGTGAGAGAGGGGTGGAGATGGAATGAGCCAAGCTAGAAAAGGCGACGATGACGAGTGACGAGTGACGTACGGACGTGGTGAGAACGTTCATTTACTGAAGTGTGCTACGCACCGGTGAGCTCCGTAGACATTACCGATAATTGATCACCGTCGCTCGTCTGTCATTTCAGGAGGTGGAGCTGGGCATGGACTCGTACGCCGGGGACGTGCGGGAGCACTGGGTGCTCTCCTGGCCGGGGCAGATTGTGCTCTGCGTGTCACAGACTTACTGGACCGCCGATGTGCATAAGTCCATCAGGTCGGTGCAGCCGATATTATAGTTTCTAGGCGCTTATTTGTAGATACAGATCTTATGCCTAGTTTTATTGCTCCGACTGGTTGGTTATGTTTACAGCAGTCTAATCTCAGAGTGGTAATGGGCTGTAGGCATGAAGACTGACATTTCAAGTAAAGGTTCATCGCGTTGAATTATGTTTGCAGTGATCTATAAGCCGTGACTGATGTATTGTCACGACACAATTATGTGCTTCACCTTGCCCGTTTCGTGTTGCTAGGTCGGGGAAGAAGGCGATGGACGCCTATCTGAAGCAGAACAATGACCAGATTTCAAAGATCGTGGAGCTGGTGCGGGGGAAACTTTCCCGACAGAACCGTACCACTCTCGGTCAGTCTCCGGGGGCTAGTGACAACTCTGCTTATCGATGGATAACTTGCTAAAGAGGAGCTAGAAAACCTTCCCTTCTATCCGCGCAACTAAGCCTTACATACAAGGCAGATGGAATGACCATTGTGCTGACCGCCCCAGAGTGCCAAGCTTAAAACGTTGCCATGTGATGTAGGTATTGTTCCGTAAACTTTTGAGCATTTATTCCGTGTTATCGGTGGCAAAAGCCAGGCTAGGTTTTCCTTTTAAAGTGTTGCTGAATGATCAATGAAGTGCCAGTGAATAAAGTCGCTCTCACTGTGCCCTGACCCGTGTCCATCCCCACCCGCCACCGTCCACCCCAGGCGCTCTGGTGGTGCTGGACGTCCACGCCAAGGACGTGTTGGCTTCACTGATCAACAGCAAGGTGGAGTCGGAGAACGACTTCGCCTGGCTGGCGCAGACACGCTACTACTGGGAGGTGAGGATCACAGGTTGAAACGTGAGAAACTGGCAGAACGACTTCGCCTGGCTGGGGCAGATGTGCTTCTACTGTGAGGTAAGGGCTAGGCTGTAACCCATCTGTAAACGCCTGGTTGGCGCAGATATGCTACCACTTGACTGGGGGATGAGGACCATTAACTAGACTGGAACGGTGAACAACTGGGAGAACGACTTTGCCTGGCTTCCAGAGACTTGTTACTGCTGAGAGGTGAAGTGCGCGGACTGTATCGGTTTGGACCTGGGAGGATGGGTGCGATAGCCAGGTGCTATTTCAAAAGAGGCCGACAGACCTAAACGGTAAGTACATAAGTGAGATAATGGAATAGAACGGCAACAACTGGAGCGCATCCTCGAATCGTTCAGATAGTGCACAAACATAAACTAGGTCCACAAAGTTAACGATATATTTTTTATACCGTGGCAGTAGCTCGCAATTCCAGTACCTGTCTCGTTTCTCGCCCTGTCACGGTGCAACGGCGTCATGTCTTGACGTCACCGTCTTCCGTCTAACCCTGCAGGAGAAGCGGCTGGCGACACGTATGATCAACTCGACCCTGATGTACGGCTACGAGTACCTGGGCAACACTCCGCGACTGGTGATCACTCCACTGACGGACAGATGCTACCGGACACTGTTCGGCGCGCTGCACCTCCATCTCGGTCAGTGGGGTGGTCAGGGCGGGCGGGCTGAGGGTGGGTGCGGCTGGTGGAACTGGTAGGGAGCCGCGGCTGTCATGCGACTTATAACATCGATGCTCCTTCATCCTTGAATTAATCGCTCCTCCCTTCTTTTCCGGCCACTGCATTAGTAGGCCACTCCATTGTTCTTTTGTGACTTTGTTATGGTAACTTTTCTTCATTTAACCATCGTCGGCACTTAACCTGAGCCGACACAACTGACGATGTGTGTTCAGGCGGTGCGCCCGAGGGACCGGCAGGTACCGGTAAGACGGAAACCACCAAGGACCTGGCCAAGGCCGTCGCCAAACAGTGCGTCGTCTTCAACTGCTCTGACGGACTCGACTACATCGCGCTCGGAAAGTTCTTCAAGGTCGGTGAGAGGAGTAATTGTTAGATGGGTGATAAATATGAATAGCAACGATTAAAGTGAACTACATTTATATCAACATGCAACAATCCAGGCTAAAATGCTTGCCGGTGCTCAATTATGCTAGTTTTCCCCAGTTACAGATTTTTTTTTAAGTTTCCAGCTTCCTTGCTGTGCCATCTGATTCTGATTCTTACCTATCAACATTTTAATATTTACCTTCCTGCCCCACCCTCGTCATTCTTCCCTCCAGGGCCTGGCGTCGTGCGGCGCCTGGTCGTGTTTCGACGAGTTCAACCGGATCGACCTGGAGGTGCTGTCGGTGGTGGCGCAGCAGATCCTCACCATCTCGCGGGCCATCAGCGCCGGCGCCGACATGCTGCAGTTCGAGGGCTCTGAGCTGCACCTGGACCCCACCTGTGCCGTGTTCATCACAATGAACCCCGGATACGCCGGCAGGTCGGAGCTGCCCGATAACCTGAAGGTAGGTAGCCACGGTCGTGTGGGGCGTGCAGTAAGGTGGATGGACTGGCTGTACTTTGTGGTGTGCTATCTTTTCTACGCGTTTCTGAATGGAAGGTATTAATTTAAGACCGGCTGGACATTTTCTTTTTGGCACTACAGTTTTCTAGCTAAAGGTGTAGCTGTTTGTGTAGCTAAATCCTATTGACGATGCTGCATCCCGGTTCGCACTGCATGATTGCTCTGAAGAATGCACATGTTGCCACACATTTGTCTAAAATCGTCTCTCTTTCCCCAGGCGCTGTTCCGCTCCGTGGCCATGATGGTGCCCGACTACGCCATGATTGCCGAGATCGTGCTCTACTCGTGCGGCTTCGTGAACGCCCGGCCGCTGGCCACCAAGATTGTGGCCACCTACCGGCTGTGTTCGGAGCAGCTCTCGTCACAGCCCCACTACGATTACGGTGAGGACGGTGGGGTCGGGTGGCTACGATTCGAAGAGCTACGGGATAGTGTCCAATATTCAAGCCACTTTTCAATGATAGTAGAATGTTTGGAACGAAAGTCTGTTTTGACGCTGATACACGTATGAGGATGTGCTAAACATATTATGTCTGAGGACATACGCAACTTATCATGCTCATGAGTACTTGCTACCCAGTACCCAGTACCCTGACTCATCATGACACACTTATAGCCGACTGGTAGCCTCTAACCGCGTACTCCGTCCTCTGTGGCCCAGGTATGCGAGCGGTCAAATCCGTGCTAACGGCGGCCGGTAACCTGAAGCTCAAGTTCCCCGAGGAGTCTGAGGACATCTTGATCTTGCGCTCCATCACCGACGTCAACCTGCCCAAGTTCCTGACGCAGGATCTGGGCCTGTTTGCGGTGAGTAAACTCTCCAAGTTCAAGAGGGTTGGTGGGGCTGTCCACGCCGCCCTTTTTAATCTGCGCTGCGTCGTTAGCATTCCTCCTGCCAATCTGCGAATCTTACTCTTAAGCTTCTTCCAAGGAAAATCGGTAACCAGTCAATGTATCGCAATGATTACAGATAACTGATCATTTACATAATAAGTAATGACCCGGGCAATAGTTCCAGGCCGTTTCAATCGGAGTTAAGCTATAATAGCCGTTTTCACGACGGCCATCTGGTACACATTTGGTGCACATCTGGTGCAGATCAGGTGCAGATTTGGTCAAATCAGGTTCAGTGTGTCTCTTAGTAGCTATCAGCTAGGGTTGAACTTATTGCTTATATGCCTGCTTTGTCATATTATCAGAGACATCGATTAAAACACTGAAATAAATTCATAAAATGAAGATATTTGCTGTAAAAGAGATTACTAGGTGCAGATTTGGTCAAATTAGGTGCACTCGCCGGATAGACCGTCGTGAAAACGGAATGTAACCAGACATCGGCTCATGTCGACAGGGTATCACGTCTGACCTGTTCCCCGGTATCAAACTGCCGGAGACAGACTACACGACGTTCAACGCCGCCGTCCGAGAGAGCTGTGAGGAGGCCAACCTCCAGTGCACCGACTACTTCCTCGAGAAAATACAACAGGTCAGAGGCGCAGAGTCGGCTGGGGCGGCCAGAGAGCAGAGCGATTTGGGAAGCGGCGTGAATTTGATTGCGAATGCTAGCTTTCTAAACGTGTTGTTCGTATTTTCGCGTATTTCGTTTATGGCATCAAGTTTGTCTTTTTTCACTATAAGGTACCAGTATAGCGCCTTTTGGGGCGACTAACGGAGCGAGCGAGGGGTGAATCTTGCACGTGTGAAATTTCGAGGGGGTGCCTCCAACTGACTTGTGCACGGCACCCTACTGACCGGTTTCTAGCGATGTGCCAAATTTGAGCACAATCGGCCCAGCCGTTCTCGAGATCTGGGAGCGGCACCCTGCACGTGCGCACTTGCAGCAGCACCCCAACTCTGGCACATGGATATGCAGTGCCTAGTGGGTGCCTACCTACATGCCAACTTTCAGCGCAATCGGCCAAGTAGTTACCGAGATATTGCAACAATTACAAAACTGACACCTCTTCGTTTTGCACGTGGCACGTGCATAAGGGGTCACCCACATGAATCGGGAATAGTCCAATACTTGGTAGAAGGAATGAAGCTACCCTACAAAAATTACCGCGTGTGAATCGGATAAGTGGTTGCTGAGATATAAGCCTCGCAAAAGCGTCCGCACGGCCGGCCGCTCATACTCAGAAATTTCCGTTAATCTATAAGGAAAGACTACGCTCGCTTCGCTCGCTCCGTAATTAATATCTCATTGGTCTCACTCTCATATTTAAGCTAGGTATAATTTGCGTACCTGACTCAAATAACTACACAACTGCCGAGCTTGTCTCTTTATCATGTGAGCCCGATTTCGGATATGATCACTCTTGTTTTTTTTTCAGATATACGAAATGATGATCGTGCGCCACGGATTCATGATCACGGGTATGCCGTTCGGCGGTAAGACGTGCGCCTACCGGATGCTGGCCGAGGCCCTCGCTAAACTACATGAACGGGTGAGTCGGCCGGCGAGTGGCCAGAGGTGCTCAGGGTCTTGGTCGGGTACGGGGGAGGGGGGGGGGGGGGGGGAGGGGGGAGTTAGGAGGGAGCCCCAGTTGTTGGATGCATGTCAGACATTCGTAAACGAGGTCTCTAGCATTTGCAGTTGATGCATGCTTACATAACGAGGTTAAATATAGGACAGTGAAATGCTAGGAACATTACCGTTCCATGCTTCTATCCTCAGGACACAGAAATCCTTCTCCTCCACTTCGCAGCCCCATCCGGGCTGGACAGGCAACTTTATCCCATGCGGGCTGCTCCCTTGGAGCGGCACCGCTGCTCCCGAGGGAGCGCACCCCGTAGCCGGGTGCAGTGAGTACCTTGGGGCTGGTCGGCCTGTCCTTCGGGATGGGCTCAGCCCCGGTGACTCACTAGGGTGCCTGCCCAGACCAATGTCTCCCCCTACTTCCTATCATCCTTCCGGCCCTGAAATGGTCTCGTCAGACCGAAAGGGCCTAACCCAACAAAACAAACAAACAAAACTAGGAACATTCTGTGGGAGTGGTTATATGGAAAGTTGGCGCCGTATTTGCGACATTTGTAGCGCGGCGTGCCGATTACGCTTGGGACTAATGCAGACCTTGTTTTTTACTAGCAGTGACGTGTTAAACGCGAGGCGTGTTGAATTGCGATCGATGACTTTGACCTCTAAACACGCACTTAATCTGGTCACAGACCGTGGCTGGCATGTGTTTTCTTTTACATCAGCTGACCTCTGTCAACCTGACCTCTGAGTTGACCGATAAGCCTTTTATCTGATCACGAACCCCTAACCTCTGGCCTCTGACATCTGACCTGGTTTCTGACCCTGACCCTGACCTTGGCCCTGACCTGACCCTGACCTTGGCCCTGACCTGACCCTGACCCTGGCCCTGACCCTGACCTGACCCTGACCTGATCTGACCTTGGCCCTGACCCTGACCTCTGACTCTGACCTTGAGCTGACTTTGACCCTGACCTCTGACCCTGACCTTGACCTTGACCTTGACCCCCACAGGAGGAGATGGACGAGAACTCTGTCCAAATCACCGTCATCAACCCCAAGTCAATCACCATGGGTCAGCTGTACGGTCAGTTTGACCCGGCCTCGCACGAGTGGACCGACGGCGTTCTGGCCGTCAGCTACAGGGCGTTCGCGGTGGATCCCAGTCCCGACAGGTAGAGTGGAGGGAGGGAGGGAGAGGGAGGGAGCGAGAGAGAGAGAGAGAGAGAGAGAGAGAGAGAGAGAGAGAGAGAGAGAGAGAGAGAGAGAGAGAGAGAGAGAGAGAGAGAGAGAGAGAGAGAGAGAGAGATGGAGGGAGAGAGAGATGGAGGGAGGGAGGGAGGGAGGTAGGGAGTGAGAGAGGAAGAGACTAGGGAGAGAATTATGCTGAAACGTTCGTGATGCGATACAACCAGCTAGTTTTCGGAGTAATGCCTTGCATGAACGTGTCTCCTGGTTCTGTCAGGTTCCCATGCAAAGCTGCCCGACAGTTATATTCTGTGATTGACTTTATTAGTGGCAGAGCTGTGATTTATTTTCTCGTAAACACCGTATTACCCCTGACATGCGCTCGTCCCATTCGTTGTTGTGAACTTTCTAAGAACCCTTTTATTCGGGCTAGTCGTAGTTCGGCATATGTACCTCTGAAGTTGTTAACTTCCATCCAAATTTGACTGAGCACGCTATGGGCTGTTGTGGAGTGGCTCTTATATAACTCGTAGCGCTCTTTCCACGATGGCGACGCTTGTATCGTCAGCTGGATACAAAATGTCTCCTGAATCTGCGACCAACGATGATTTATTCTCTGTACTCTATAGTTTGGCGTATGTCAGTAACTTCGCGCATGAAATGATCTATGCATGGACACTTGTCGGCGGACGTATATCACCGGTTAGCGCTTAGTCGCTAACACGACTTTACACTCTACTGTCCCTGGCTTGTCATCAGAAAGTGGCTCATGTTTGACGGACCCGTGGATGCCATATGGATCGAGAACATGAACACCGTGCTCGACGACAACAAGAAGCTGTGTCTGATGTCGGGAGAGATTATCCAGCTGTCGCCGACCACAAACCTCATCTTTGAGCCGATGGACCTAGAAGCGGCGTCACCGGCCACGGTGAGTCAATGGTATTGGTGGTGGTGGTGGTGGTGACGGTGGCAGTCGTGTAATGGTGGGATGGTATGGCGGTGGAGTTGATGTGAGAGGAGACTGGGCTGGTGGCTCCACATTTAGATCTACACGTGCGGTTTGTTACGGTGAAACCATTTACGACGCTGTTTCGTTACTCAGCTGTAGTAGTGGCGCTTCTTAGGGATCTTCCACCTGCACCTAATCAATATATGTATTTCAACTTTGCCGAGACTGTTTCCAACTGACTTCTATCGCTTCATAGAATATGCGCTCCCGATTTCCCTGTTCAGCTTTGTCCCCGTTCTATATCAAGTAAAATTATGCTCTGACCTGAGAAGCCGTTGCCACTTCTGCTATTTCCGTCGGGCCATTTGTCCGCCCGCTATCATCTCTACACCACCCGCCTGTCCGTGCTGCGCAGGTATCCCGCTGCGGTATGATCTACTTGGAGCCCAACACGCTCGGCTGGCGGCCCCACCTGACCTCGTGGATGGCCACCCTGCCTCCCACGCTGAACGAACAGCACCGCACCATCATCGAGGATATGTTCGAGTACTTTGTGCCGCCGCTGCTCAACTTTGTCCGACGCGCCGGCATCAAGGTGGGAAAACTGTCTTCACCGAACGCATGTGACTGGTGTGAGTGAGTGAGTGAGTGAGTGAGTGAGTGAGTGAGTGAGTGAGTGAGTGAGTGAGTGAGTGAGTGAGTGAGTGAGTGAGTGAGTGAGTGAGTGAGTGAGTGAGTGAGTGAGTGAGTGAGTGAGTGAGTGGGTGGCTGAGAGAGAGAGGGAATAGGGAGAGGGAGATGGAGAAAGAGGGGCAGGAAGGGAAGTAAGAGACAAAAAGATAGGGAAGTGGCAAGGGAAGAGAGAAATGAACGAGAAAGGGAAGGGTGGACGAGAAAGAAGGGAATGAGAACGAGCTCTGGAAGATTAAGATGTGAAGGTAAAAAGGATGAGACATGCCCGGGTCTGGAAAGGAGAAGGGACAGCTGAACTATGTAATAAGGATGAGAGTTGGGACGGCAATTGGGGTACAGGCAGCTAGCTGGTTATTATGAAATCAAACGACTGTCGGCTGCGCGATGAACTATATACCCGCCAGCTGAAAATGGTAGGGGATTCATGCAATGGCGCAGTGCGTGCGAAAATTATACGCGCCAGGTTCAAGCTGACCTCTTATGGAGCTAAAATAGGTAGCTGGTGTGCTTGGGGGTGTTTGATATACTTCTTGTAAGCACGGGATCTTTTTTATGTTCGTCGCAAGTAAGCACGGAATCTATTTGATGTGTGGCACAGGCGAGCGCCCACGCGGTCTTAATTAAGTAAGGCTCCGGCCAATGCTTGACGTCTTTGCCTCCGTAGGTTTGCCTGCCGACTGCTGAACTCTGCCTTGGCCTGTTGTGAGGAACCACTTTACGTAACCTGTCTATAACGGTGCCCGTGGTATGTTAATAATTTAATGTGAGCTTATTATTATTTGGCTGCGACTTGTAAATCATCCATGCAGTCTCGCTGACTCACGTTGTGAACAGCGACAATTCTTGGTGTATGTACAGTCCACAGCAGAAGTAATGTGTGGTTTCAGTCAACGGTATGTTCTGCTTCTGAAGCCTAGGAACGATAAGCCAGACTGCAACGAGACTTTAAATGTAGCTTACAAGTATCTTCACCCTTGCAGCTACAACTTTATCTATTGACGTCTTCTTTTCAATCAGTCCGCATTTAAAAATCGTCGGTCAGAGCCATCCGTTGTGATTGGTAAAACCACACATTACTTTAGCGGTGGGCTGTACATACTTCAAAATACCGTATCCGTGAGTTTATGTATGTAAGTAACGCAGCTGTACCGTATACGCTACATTTTCGTTGAAACTGACCCGTGCTGTACCGCATAGTTATTATACCGTCTGTGAGTATATATGAGTTCTTAAATTTCCCACCTGTACCTCATATACTCCGTGACTGTACCTATGTTATGTAACTGACCCGCTCCGCACCCCTGCGGCGGCGGCCAGTGGATGAAGCTCGATCCGCCGCTTATGTCCGATGTGACTGATGAGGTTTGTCGCTCGGTCCCGAGTCAGCAGAGTTTGATCGTTTACGAAAGGGTCGAGGAAGCACTTGGAACGTCCTGTCTGCATCTTCACTGCGCACTTATTAATACCGGCCTGTTCACTGCACTTTTTTATTTAGCACATTATCACTACACTGTTCACTGCACGCCTGTTTTCAAGCATTTGCTGCACCTGCTGATGTGACCCTCTTTAATAATTATGTTCGTCCGACCCAAGCACGTCTGGTTTTCCGGTTCTTCTTCCGTATTGGTCGATTCGTCAGGCTTGCGTTGTGTCATTTTAGACTGGTCGGCACGCCAGAATCAAGCCGATCGTTTGTTTGTCGTTAAGATTTTCTAAGTTTATGCCGTCATATCGCTTTTCTTACATCTTTGTCTTCCTTTAAGCTGCTGAATCGACAATTTACAACATCGATTCCAATTCAGTATTCACCGACGATTCGTTTTGTCTTGTTTCGCACAAACTTCCGTCAAAACAATACTTGGCGTTGAAACTTTGAGTAAACCATATTGACGGCATGACATATGTAGCAATCAAACGATCAGGTGCGTGTTTGGAACAACAACGTGATTACATTTCTATTCACAGTTTACACAAAAGTTTGTGCACAGTTTATACACAGTTTTTAAACTGCAATATCACAGTGAAACTTTAAGGTATTCAAATCCAATCACAGCTGAAAGGCGATGAAGTGGCACCCAAGTGGTACAGTTAACTTACTCTACCCTGCTCTACCCCAATGTAACTTACAACTGACCGAGTTCCTCTGCCGGTGTTACAGGAGATGTCCCCCACCACCGACATCAACCTGGTTCACTCGCTGATGAACCTGATGGACTGCTTCATGGACTGCTACGGCGACGAGAAACACCTGAAGGTCACTCCCGAGTCGGACGTTCGCACGCACCTCGAGGTGAGCTGCTGACCGTCACTGCTGACTGTCTGGCCGGCTGCGGGGTAGGGCGGAGGGAGGGGGACTGGGGGAGCCTGCTACAGTCGGAGTCGGGCTCGCCAAAATATTACATCGACTCCGGTTTGGTAATAATTGTAGTTAATATTGCGTTTGTTTCAAGTTTTTTTTTTTTGGTCAGAAAATGCTATGTTTTTTAGCGATGTTAAGCTAAAGCTGTGTGAAGTCAGTCCATTTGAGAATCATGCTTTCCTGGAACAAGTCAATGACATGTGCGATGCTGAGGAATTATGCCATTGGATGAAGGTCACGATGACAGCTCGCTGTCGTATATTATTATTACGAGCGAGCGAGCGCAGCGAGCGAAGCGAAGTCTTTTCAATATAACGGAAAAATCTCAGTATGAGCGGCCCGGCCCGGCCCGGCCTGTAACGCTTTTGAGAGGCTTATATCTCAGCAACCGCTGGACCGAATGGCCTGCGGTCTTTTTTGCTGGGTAGCCCCATCCCTTCTACCCCGTAATTGACTACTTTTGATGCATCTCAGTGACCGCCGTGGCACGTGCCACGTGAAAAGTCAAGGGTGTTCAAGCAGTTTTGCAAAAGTAATGATATTGAGAGGCCCATATCTCAGCAGCGGCTTGAGCGATTGTCTTGCGGTCATTTTTATAGGGTAGCTGCATCCCCTCTACCAAAGGTCGGATACTCTTCATCTATGTGAGTGACCCCCACTGCACGTGCAAAATACAACAATAAGAGGTGCCAAATTTGTTCCCATTTCAGTAACTCGGTAATTACTGGGGCGATTTCGCTGAAACTTGGCATACAAGTAGGCACCCACCAGGCAATGCATTCTCATGTGTTGCGGTTAGGGTGCTACTGCACGTGCGCACGTGCAGGGGGCGTTTCCAGATCTCGAGAACGGCTGGGCCGATTGCGCTCAAATTTGGTACACCGCTAGCGACCGGTTAGAAGGGTGCTTTGCGCAAGCCCATTGGAAGTACCCTCTCGCCCTTCTGCACGTGCAGGGCTCACTATCTCGCTCGCTCGTTCTTCGCCCAATAGTCGTTTTACTGGTTATTATCATTATTGCTGTTTATTCAGCATCGCCATGCGACAAAAGATACATACCTCCCCCCCCCCCTTTACACACACACCCGTCACCAGCAGCACGGCCGTCACCTGGTGCGTGGCGCCCAGGTCCATTGCTAGTGACGGAACGGTGACTCGAGAGTACGTCCGGTGCGAGGCTAATGGACCTAACAGCGTCACTTACTTTTCTTCTGTGGTTTTCTTATCTAAGAAGGGGAAGGTGGGGTATAATTCTACCTATTTTTTTTCTGCCATGTGGCCACCCGAGTTTAAACCCTGCCGGCCGGTCGGCCGGTCAGCTCGCCGGTCACTCCTCCGCTGCTGGCAGCCTAGCTATATCTGCTCCGGCTGTAGTGGCTGGTCACCGTCGAGCTGCGCGCCGATGACGGCCACCTCCGTCCAGGAGACACGCAGTCGGTCGGTGACCAGGTGCAGGTAGCGGCCCTGCACGGGGCGCTGGCAGCGGTACAGACGCGCCATCCGGTGGCGCATGTGCTGGCCGGGCAGCCGGCGGCAGACGGCCGCCGCGGCCGCGTCGTGCCGCTCCCTGCTACTGCTCAGGTAGATGGTGGTGTCGGCGGCCGAGCGTCCCGCGCCCGTCACCAGCAGCACGGCCGTCACCTGGTGCGTGGCGCCCAGGTCCACCGTCAGATGCTGCCGCTGCTCCTCCAACGAGTCCACCTCGTCCGGCAGCGTCGGCCCCGACCAGGTGTCCATGTCGCCATCGACGGCCCGCGCGGCGGTGGCTGTACCCCAGGAGGCCCACATGGGTCGGCCGCGGGCGGCGCTCCGCAGGACCCCCGGCTGCCACATACACACGTACGGTATGCTTTGGCCACAGCCAATGTCGTTCAACAGGCCGCCAGTGCGTAGCACAGCGCAGTCATCGTTTCCTCCGGCGTTGTTGGGCTCGTCGGGGTGCCAGGTGGTCAGGTTATCCAAAGGCTCGCCGTCTGAGTACACGAACTCTCCTTCGATGCCAGTGTCGTCCAGGCCCAGGAAGATCCTCTCATCGAGCATCTGAGCGGCGGCGAGCGCCGCACGCGTGCCGTCCTCGCGTCCGTGGTAGAGGATGCCGCCGAGGCTGGCGCAGTCGCGCGTCGCCGGCCGGTACTCAGCTGCCGGGTGTTTGCTGAACCACCACTGACCTCCGAGCTGTACAAAGTCGGCCGGCGGCGGGCCGGTGGCCGTCGGCAGCCGGCGCACCAGCGTCCGCCACTCGTCCGACGGGTCGGCGCCGAGGTCGTCGGTGATGCCGGCCGAGTACAGGCGACAGGTCGAGCTGACGGCAGAGAACTCCACGGCCAGACACAGCGCATCCCCCTGACAGGCGGCGGAACAGTCGGCCAGCTCGGCGGCCGCCTCCTCTCGGAGCAGCGCGTCGTCGGCCGGCCGGACTTCGTCTGCGGGTACCAGTTCCCCGAGGGGCCGGCAGCCGCCCGCCTCCGTCCGGTTGAACGCCTCCAGACAGGCGCACAGGCCGGCGCTGCAGAAGGAGCCAGGCACGACCAGACTGCAGTCGGTGGTCCGCTGGCACGGCTCATCCAGGAAGGCCAGGCCGCGGCGCGCCGCCAGCACCCACGGCTCAGCAGCGGGCTCCAGACGGCCCGGCGCCGGCCGGCGGACAGACAGCAGACACTGCTGGTCGCTGGGACGGTACGCTGTGCCCAGACAGTCGGGCCGGCTCAGACACAGGTGCCGACACGAGGGCTCGAGCACACCGCCCTTCGTGGCCAGCACCAGGTCGGCCGGCAGCGTCTCGTTGGACTCTCCGAGCTCCTCCATACGGTACGCATCCGGCGGCAGGCGCACGGTCGCCAGCCGCTCGGCAAGGAACTCCACCGTGCCCGGCTCGGCGGACAGCGCCGGCGCGGCCGCCAGAGCCACCACAGCTGCGGGAGGGACCATCGCCGCGACTGGCCGCCCGACCAGCACGGCAGCTCACCGGCCCCTCCGTCGGTGGGCAAAACAGCGGCCTAGCGACTGCCAGCCGGTCATTTTCTACCACATAAATTACCCTTCCATGGGTGTGATTGATAAGATCGAAGAGTCGTGACTTTGTTGGACTAAGAATGAGAATGAACCTGATTAAAAGGCGGAAAGTTGTATTCATTATTTAGGAAGTAACATTTTCAGACGTTCCTTCTCAAGGGATTATCAGGGTTTGAAAAAAGCTAGAGATCGACTTCGTTTTGCTATTGCTGATTCCTTAGGCTCTGCTGATTCTAATGTCCTAATGATATGCATCCCCCTATGTAAGTGCTTGATTGTACATACCAGTTTCAACCATTTTACTTGTTCAACATCGCCAGACTTCATATGTAGTGCTAATGCAAATAAGTAGTGCTGATTCAGCAGTCCAGCTAGACCAACAGCTGACTCAGGCGCGGTGCATTTGAGACAAAACATAGGATTTGAATTTGTGAACTTTACTACCTCGACAGTACGAAGTAACTGGACGGGCAGGCGAGTCAATGCCCGTCCAGTTACTTCGTACTAACGTTTCAGCAAACCCATTAAAAACTTAGCACATCGACAGTGGTACAACATTTTACAGTGGTACCATCTACCACGGCCCACACATATCGGATACATAATGCCCTGGGTGTGTACGGGGACCCGCAGTTGCTACTGTACAGCGACCCTGAGTAAATTGTCCCAGCACCCTCACAGGGAACAACGATAAGCTGTCGGAGGGCACTCACAGAAAACTTCAGCTGCTCTTGTACAGGGACTGGCAGTCGATATCAATGTTATCGGTTTTTACTGGGCAGGACAGACGGCTAGAGTTGCGGTTCGTGTACAGTAGCAACTGCGGGTCCCCGTACCACTGCCGTAATGGCTCACGATGCCCCCGAGCCGGTACGTGTTGTCGCCGGCCGTGTTAGCTTAGCTGAACGGGGTAAATGGTTGTCCTCCCTCGAGAGCTCGCACGGGTGCGCCAGTTCGGAGGAATCTGCTGGCAGGTCCTTTTCCAGCGAACTCATTCTGGCTTCCTGCAGCTCATTGTTGTCGTTCTCGTCGGTCCGTTGCTGCATCGACGTAGGGACTAGGGATGGCGGCGTCGGGCGTCACTCGCTCCGCTTGCGTTGGTGGCGGCTTGGCAGCAGCCTCCGCCGAGGGCAGCCTCCTCCGTCGGAAAGTTTTTTTTTTTGTACACATAAGAAACGTTGTAAAGAAAACTTAACACGCTTCACGTCGGAAAGGCTTGCTGCGCTTCCATTCTGGCGGCGACGTAACATCGTCCTTGGCGTACTTGACCAGTCCCAACAAGAACTTTGGGATGTCGACATTAGCCTGAATCTTCTGAGGTGCCTGTCCAACGAAGACGTACCGCTTCAGCTGCAGGACCAGCGTCCTCGGCAGGCTGGTGATCTTCGTTGTGACTTGGTGCATGTTGTGGCGGCAGTGCTGGCATAGCAGTTCGCGGCGGTCGGGCCGCATGCTCAGATGTAACGCGTTTTGCAGCGTTGACTCCCCTGGACTCAGGTGTTGCGGCACGCTGACAAAACAGCCAATGTTCTCGTGGTTCTTAAGCGTAATTTCATCGCACTTAACGCATCTCCTCGGTTTGGTATTGAAAGTTGTCGGAGACAGGGTTGTCTGCCGGCCAGTGAACAAAACTTTCGTCTTTTATAGTGTCCAGCAGGCGCATCTGGAACTCATTGGCGTCCTGCATTTCGTAGCCTCGGAACGACGAGTCGATGTAAGCGAAAACGTCGCTTAGCTCGGCGTTCAGGTGGCTGGAGACAGACTTGCTAAGCCCTTTCGGAGCACCATCAACTCGGCAACACCACGCAGTGTGCGGCAAAGGCTGTCCTCGCCTGAGCTCAGGTCGGAATTCAGCGACATCACGTCGCTCAGGAACGGGGTCAGGCCCAGCAGAGATCGCATCGTGGCGTTTTGATAGCA